TCTCACCTGCCTTGTGCAATAATTGTTGGTACTTCCAGAAAATAATACACCTAGTATGTTTGACTGTATCCCTGCAGTATTTTATCACCATTCTTTTAAATATTTATCATGACATTGCTGTCAGGTCAGTAGGACTGATGTGGATTCCTGACAATCCAGTTAACAATCCAGGTTTTTGGTGTATGCTTTAGTCTGCTTGGATGCACTGTATTTGCACAAAGGATCTTTTTCTCACGTATATTGACCTGTGGCAATAAACAAGATCTAACTGATGAAAAACATGGGCTGCTGAGGAGAACTTATTTAGCATGTGGGGCAACTGAGAAAACACCAGAAATGGTAAGCATTCATTTTATCACAATGACCAGCTGCAACAAATGACTATTTACTGAAGAACACTGACACTTGGACTCTAATGTTTGTTTTTAGCACATTAATAGCCAAAAAACCATCACTGTATTTAAAAGGCTACAGCTTAACCTGTAGTTGATTATGTGGGTCAAAGTCAGCATTCAGCACTATTCACAGAAAAAAGTTAGCAAAAACTGACTCTATGAGTTGTTCGTTTTTAAATGTCCCCATTGGCCTCATGTTGTGCATAAGATATATGCTGAGCAGATATAAATACCAGTTTGGTGGCTGCTATTACGTGACCAAGCCAATTACTAAGTTTATGTCACTTTACATATCAGTTAACATCTTTGATGTGTGCAATTGTGTCACAATGCTGTCGAACCAGGTTATTAGTGTGTGTTTCACACGTGATATTCATCTCAGCTCAGCAGTGACGGACCCTCTGAAATATTCATCACTGTCTTTACTCTTACTCAGCTGGTAATTTTCCAAAGAAACCGACACAGCAGCATTGTTAAAGCCCTCAAAACAACATTCAATTCTGTCACACAAATAAATGTTGAGATAATCATGGACTGACAAACTGCATTTTGCAATTAAGATGACTGATAAATTAAGGAACGCCAGTGCTTCTGCTGTATGTCCTCACAGTCTACAGTAAATGCTGTAGCCTGTCAGTGGAGCGAGGCTTCCCCACCCCATTGCTCTTGGATTTCTGACATCAGACATGAATAAGGATCTCATTAATATCCCCCAAAACCATCTGTCCAGTGAGTCTCCTCTTTATATGAAGATGCTCTAGTAAACAAAAGAGTAGGATTCCCTCATTATCCTCGTTACCCTCATTAGGAATTGAATTCTATCTTCAATGGCAAGTGGTTTAATACATCCAGGGAACTGGGATACATCTAAGACAGTGCTTTGTTTTGTAATTACTGCCCTGTAAAACTCTTACCATAGATCCAGCAATTTAAACACGCACTGTACCTTTTTATAATAGAAGCTTAAAGTGTAGAATGCATGTAAATGTAACGTTGTATGTTTGATTTCCTTTTGAATGGAATTGTATTTTGTATCAGAAGAATACTGTTATAAACAATTTTGCAACTAATAGATCCACAGTCGTTACAGAGGAAAATGAAAACACAGAAAGTCCTCTCCAAGTCATCCTTGTTTTAAACATAATAAAAAGCAATATCCACTTAATTACTATAGCATGCAAGGATGCATTTTTACGCTTGACTGACTGTGTACTTTTCAGTCTCCATTTAAGCATAGTGAAATGTTGCTTGGCAGATGCTCTGAGCAAACAAACCCACTCCACCCATACCACACAACAATAGAAGCTGAAGAAATTAAACAACGTAAACTAGCAATAGCTTTATCTTTGGTCTCATACAGAAATATATTAAAAAAGAGTGCTGCAAATGTGTACACAGATTCCCAAAACATCTTTGAGCAATAAATGGAAAAACTATCTCATGTGCCTGATCAGAAAGTTTTGGAAACATGGGCAAGTCCCTAAAAGCAAACACAGTGTCACAGGGTCAAAAACTCCACTTGTACATAACATTATGAAATAGAAACAAAGAAATGACTCACGACTGTGTGTGGTTTTGGAAATGTTGGAAATGTTGCAAATGTAAGGACTTTATTTAGAATTTCTGGTTTAACACATTTCCCCTAACAATACACAAAAGCATCATTACTTTAACTTACACAGCAGGTCACTTCAAGCAGTATGGAACAATTCATTTTATATTATGATAATTCATAATTTGTTACAAGTCTTGACCACTGGTTATGCTTATTGACCACTTTCAGTAGATGACAGTCAACATGAAACTTCACTAATGTAAAAACACCTGGACACCTTTGGCTCATGTTTCAGGATCTTGTTTTGACTCCAGCATACAGGAAGTACAGTGTGGCAAACGGCTGCAAGTCCCTGATGATTGGCTGACGGTTATCTCTCTTGAAAGAGCCATAAGAGAAAAAAAAGGCGACTATCTATTCACACCTAAGCAGAAATATTCATCTGCCGCTGTTACCCACACTCTGTGTTATTAACCAGTAATCTTTGCATTGGCTGTCACTGCTTATTAAATGTGCCCAACACTGTGTAAACGATGATGTATCAGCCTTTGTAATTATGTCCACGTGTTATCTCATGGCACACGGCTGTCATCAGTGCATTTGTGTGCTACAGCCTTTGTGATGGCAGAATGCTGGATATGTAAGCAGCTGGGGGGGGGGGGGGGGGGGAGTTAATGATTGGCCCTGTGCGTATCAGGGGACTGATCAGTTATCACATGTATAACCTGATGAATTTTTGGAGTTTGACATTGCCCTGGTTGCATGTTTTGGCTGTCACAGGTGCATGTTTAAATAAGTAGTCTGTAATCTGTTCATAATATGTCTATTGGGAAGGTTTGTAATGCAATAATCTATGACTTGCACAAGAAGGTCACAAAAACTTTGACCCAAATTGGGTCAAAATTGAACCAAATGGGTTAATGTAGGACTGACACAATGCTGGGTTAACTTTACTCATGGACAAAAATCCACAGGGTCACCAATCAAACCCAAGAAAATAGGTTGTTTTGATCCAGTGTTAGTGTTGATGCAATTTTTTTTGTTATAGTACTGTTTTGTTATTTACCAAAATTACAATATGGTTATTTTTGACCCAGTATTAGACACAATGAGCTCAAATTTTACGTTACAACTGTCATAAATCTATTGTTAGTTTTGCAAAACAATGATACATATCATACTCGAAACTGCAAAGGAAACACATTTTCTATTAAGAATCTGCAGCAAAAAAAAGTGACATGTAAGCTTAAAAAAGCTAGAGTAGATAATAACAGGTCGCAACCATGCCATATTTAAGTTTGGCTAAATATCTGTATAGAATAACATTGGATCAAAAAACAATGTCTTGGGTTTGAAAAGCTGCCCAATGGTTTTAGTTAAATCATGTATTGGGTGTGTGTTATACTGACTCACTGATTTTGTGTGTATCCAAATCTATTTCCAGTTGTTTCATTTTGTTTCACAAAATAACAACATATTAGCTTGTTTATGCTGTTACAGTTTGTAGAGTCAGGATGATGTTCTTCTAGGTTTCAGCCAATTCATGTTTCAAAGACAGAACAATTTGAACTGAAGTAGGCCTATTAAATATATATACTACACTCACTTGAGGAATTACAAAGGGCATTGTAGTCTACAAATTCTGGGGGCCCCACTTAGCTGGAGGCCCTGGGTAATCAGTGCCGCTATTCACCTCACAACAACACCCAGAATAATATGTGTTGTCTAGTCTATTGTGTGTCTGGCTCTGTCCTCTTTGACCTAATGTAAAACCCTGCACGTCCCACATCATGTCTCCTATTCTGACTAACTGGGTTTACGTAATTCTCTTTTGTGTCAAATAAAATGTCTTGTACAACTTCTAGGAACATCCTGATTCTGTTTTCTTGTTGTGTCTGTCTTCACTCATGTCATTTAAGGTTTTTAGTTTTAGTTTTTAAGTCTGTGCTTTCCAGGATAAACACATTTGCATGGTATTTGCATTGGTAAAATGCAGAGTTAATCCAGTTCAGCAGGATGAGGCTAATGCAAATATTGAACTTGAATTTCCATTTTGCAATAGAAATTGCCAGCGGTGGTCTAACAACACTGGTTTCCCTAGTTATGTAGTGCCCCCAAGTGGTGGATAGTCACTGAGGTGACCAAATTTGGTGTGTGTGGGGCTAAGGAGGAGAGGAGGAGACAAGCAGCAAAGTCAGCTCAGTCTCTCTGCACAGGAAACGGAGGGAAACGGAGACATGAGGGTCGACACAGTCTCCAGGTTTGTTATAATTTGGGTGCAATACCTGTATGATTTCACAAATTACAGATTGAACTGCTGAGACCATAAGAGAAATACAGATTTAGGCTATGAATTATTAACAATGTAGTGAGTGCTGCACAGGTGTGATTTTGTGACTGATTGTGGTGCATAAGTGGACATTTCTTGTTGCTTTTTTGATCAAAGAGTAGATGCAGTGGTGACACGATCATCTAGATGATGAAGCAAAATCCTTAAAAGAGATGCAACATATTTTAATGGAAATCATTTAGTGATTGAATCTGACAGTGGCTGATTCATACTTCAGCATGTTTTTTTTTTTTTCAAGGTCGCTGTAAACAGTTTCTCCCCTGAGCATAATAGAAAATAATTGACCATTTATTCATTTTGGCCCTTTCATTCAACTACAACTGTGCTTTCCCAAACTGAAACAGATTCTATCAGAGTCAGTATTGTGCTACAATCATGTGTGGTTATTGTCTCTAAAGGTAAAGCATTAGAATACTGCAGGTCGCAGATTATTAGCCTTTTTGTAACTCAGCGTTTACACTTAAAGAAATAGTGTAACGATAAACAGCTGTTTACACTGATTAATAATTATTATTGAAGGAAATTAACCTTTATGACATTTGACTTTCACTGTGTGAGCAAATAAGGCTGTGTGAAATCCCTTCGGATGTTGTAGCCAATGAAAACCATGCTGACATTGACAGCCGAGGTGCATGTTGGTAGCTGCAGTTCCTTGGTCGCTTGCAGCCTGTCAGCGGCGCTGTGTTCGCTGCTGTGGAGGACTACAGCGCGTTGGATCCTGGACAGAGGCGGCTTGCATTGACAGCGGTTGTTACTGTGCGAAGTACGGCGGCATAAATATCGTCGGTCTGTTTTTTAAGGGTTTAGGGTTTTCAAAAGTTGACATCTGCAAGTATGCAGTCCGAATCGGGAATAGTTCCCGACTTCGAGGTTGGAGAGGAGTTTCAAGAGGAACCTAAAACGTATTACGAATTGAAGAGTCAACCCTTGAAAAACAGGTCAGTTCTTTAGCTGGGGACAGTTATTTCCCACGCTGCAGCGGTTTTTGTGTTTAGGTGATAATTGGACTGCAGACTTTGTGAGTGTTGTTCATTTATGAAGCTTCACCAGTGATGTGGCTGGAGATGGTTCCCGGCGCCGAGCTCTGGACTGGGATTCAACTTGCCTCTCATTCCTTATGGTTATCCTGCTGGCATGAAGTTATGCAACACTTGGGTGTTGTCTTGTCAACATCAACTTCAAATATTAGCTCGTAGAAGAGCAGATAGGTCACTTTGACGAGATGCTGCTCAGCTTTACTTGGGTTGATGCTCTGCTAAAGCTGATAATTATGGATTTTCCTAAAAAAAAACTCCAGATATTTATTTTTACACGATAACAATGACCGGTTTTTCATATATATACACACACATATATATATATATATATATATGTTTATGTAATATTAATTACTTAAAAGCTGTCTTGAGCTCTAGTAGTGTAAACAGACAAAAATCTGGCAAATAAAGTCTGCATGTAATTGTTGGCGAAAATGTTCTAAATCCTGATAAAGCAAACCTTGTTCAGAGAACAAATGTTGCAAAAATTAAAAGTTCCTATGGCATCTCAGGACATAAACAGAAACACTCTGCACTTGTGGCTTATCAGCTTTGGCACATTGAGGCCTCTCCAAATAATCAATATTGAGTTGAGTCAGGTCTATGTGGTCTGATTTGACCTTTCACCTTTTCTTTGGAAGTGCTGCACACTACATTAAGTGTGCTGTCTGAGGAGTCTGTTTATAATGTCATATTCAGATGTTATTAGTGCTGTCAAATTACTAATTATCCGTTCAGGGAGCTGAGGAATTCATTGAAGTATGCTTATTTGCTTTGTTGCTGAGAGTTACATGAGAAGATCAATACCACTCTCATGTCTGCCTGTTAAATATGACATTGGAACCAAGAGACAATTAATTCTTCGCTAAGCCACATCCTAAATACGCAAGCTGGCCAATCACAGCGCAGTATAGGACACGCTCTAACTGAGGTCCGACACTTTCATGGCTGCGCTCCATTGACTCGTATGCAAAAGGCGTCATGTATTTTTCCAAGATATGGTCAAACACTGTTCCTGGGGCACTTGTAATAATTACAATCGCTACCCAGACAGATTGAAAGCAGAAATACGATTTATTCCCTTTCCAAAACTTTAAACAAATCCAAAAAAATGTAGGCTGTGGATTGTTACATAACCCAACTGCTTTTGCTTTTTCAGTTTGATAGCCTGAATACAACCTTCAAATGCATAATGCAAACCTTTCTGTCTCCTTCCCTGAGATCGCATTTTCGTATTTCCCAAAATTAGACAATATTTCTCCAGGGAGTGCAGTTATGGACAGTGACAGCGCCATGCTGAGTCCTACAAGTCTCAGCATGTAACTAAGGGGGGTGTGGCTTTGCGAAGGATCAATTAGCTTAGCTTAGCACAACACCTGGTCTGGCTCTGTTCACAGGTAACAAAATCCACCTTCCAGCACCTCACAGTGATGACAAGACTCCCATAGAAACCACAACTTGTCATTTTCACATTTGAGTTTTTGTACGAATTTAGCAAGGTTGGGTCTTTTTTACCTTTGGACAGAGCCAGGCTAGATGTTTCAATGTTCCAGTCTTAATGCTAAGATAAACTAACCATCTGTTCGCTGTAGCTTCATATTCAATGGACAAACATAGGAGTAGTATCGATCATCTCAGCTAACTCTTGGCAAGAAAGTGAAGTAAAATATTTCCCAAACTGTCAAAGTATTCCTTTAAGGAAAAGAAACACAGCGACCTGTATTAAACAATCTCAAAACTTAATGGATGTGTTTTGACTTCAGTTACAAAATACATGCTAACCGTAGATAAAAACAGAATTTTTTGGTCTCTCTATTGACTAACAAAATATAACCACCTGGGTGATTTTTAATACATTATGAAACACTTTTCATCTGTGATACAACTGAGAAGTTGTGAAACTCACCACTTTGCCTCTGTGATGCTGGTGACGACGATGATGACGATAATACATCTATTAACAGAATGTTGTCTGATTATCCGTGTTTTCTATTTTGTGTCTACAAGTCTCTGTTAAGCGGTAGTAATACATGGCTTCATTGTCAGGGTGAGACATACAGAGGACAGTACACCACTGTGTTCAGACAGAGCTCTTATTGCAGACGTTTAGTAGACTCCTGTTATTTTCTTCCCCCTCCAGCTCTTGACATTTTCTTGCACATTTTGTAGGTTATCTCCTTTTCTCCAAATTCAGCTAAAACCACCATTTTGGGGAGAAAAACTGTCATCATGCACAGTCCTCACCTTTAACCCACTTCTGCATGTTTTAAACTAATTTCTTCATTAGTGAAATGACATTACACTATTACACATACATGGGCTGAATCTGAGCTGTGTTGTGTTGTTGCTGGCTGGGCAGGAGTGGCAGTCAGTCTCAGTATTTAAGTGAAGTAGCAGTGCTACTTCTGAAGAATCACAGATTATTTCATATCATGTAATTTCCTTTGGAATATGTGAAGTTGTCTGAACAGTTGTTTCGATTGAAGGTATCCCACTTCCTCTTCCCATCACATGAGGATGATCCAGCATAATAATAGTCACGCTGACTGTGTTGTGAGACATTGTTGCGCAAAGTGGACATAATTTGTTGTTATTGATTTTTGACTTATGTCTTTCCATGGCTATCCCTACTGTTTCTGTCAGTTGTCAATGTCAATGTCAGTTTAGCTTTCTCAGATCTTTTTTGCTGTCTCTGTATCAGTTTGACAGAGTGCTCAGACGGCTGCAGACAACGTGCCAGACTTTTTGTGCCTAATATAGATGTGAGACAGGCGTTGAAACTAGTCGTCTATGCAGTGTAAATAAGCTGTATAAATTTAGCAGGGGATGTGTTATATCTGAAACTTTTGCTGGCGGACTTGGTATGCAAATCAACTGCAAATATTTATGCAGCAGTCAAAGTGAGGCTGAAAGTCTTTGAAATCTAAGTTGGGCTTTCTAATGCAAGAGGGAACAATTTGACAAAAGCTAGATATTTTTCAAAACTCTTCATATAAATCCATATATTTCTTAGGTATGAATGGATGTGTATGGATTTTGTATGCGCATCAAAATGACACTTTTTACTTTGCTGAATATAAACTTCTCTATGTACAATAACCGTATAAACCCAAAGTTTGAAATGATCAAATTCTGATATAAGTCAGGAAGTCATCTTGGTATTGGTATCAGACTTTTTTTGAACATATTACAATGTACTGCAATTGTACCGATTGTTTCCTTGCTATAAACTTGTGTCAAGATTTGTGTTTATGAAATGGGAATGGAATATAAATACAAATACAAATACAAAAGAGTGTTTAATATATCAAAAGAAAGGCAACACAATCTACATGTGACAGAAAGCTGAGTCAGAGGTTGAGGGTTATGAAAGTTGGTGTTGGGAACAGCTTGTTCCCATGGGGAGTCCCAGACAGAGATGCCTGAGAGGCCATAGAATGATGTTAAGACAGACCGGACAGCTCAATGACAGAGACAGGTGTTGTGGCTGCTGAGTAAGAGACAGGACGACTAGTTCTGCCTTCATGATCGTTTTGCTGCATTGTGACCTCTTCTGTGGCTTTTTTAAGCATGTGTGCTTTTAATTTCTACATTGGAAAATCCTCACAAATTTAGTTTATATTTGTTTTGCTTCATGAGTATTATTAATAGTAATATGTGATCTTTGTCAGCCTCTGTTGGCGACCAGAAGGAACTACAACAACGCTGAAAACAGCACTTCCTACAGGTCACATCCTCAGATGTATAGTGTTGTCTGAGATTGACTTGATTAGGGCCGCAAACGAATAATTGACTATTCAGATTATGAATAGCAAAATTACTCAATGCCTCCCATATAGCTCCCAGCTTTTAAATGTAGCTTTAGGTTGTTTTAGGCATTAACAATAAGGACAATAAAATGAATACTGCATTCAAAAATACTTGTTTTAATGAACTTTTCTGCTGTAGCAACAGGAAATCCTGTCATAGACAAAACAGGTCATAGGACATCATAGGATATCTTGCTAATCATTTTGGGATGAACACCCTCAGACTGGTACAGGAGTATGAAAGGATAGCCAGGAAAAACTACAGAAACCAGCTAAGATTTCACCTGAGATGCCGACAACACAAAATCATACCCACCAGCCTACACTTACACTCCAAAGTGAAAGGACACAGAGCCGGTATAATATTTGAGAAAGCACAACACCAGCTACTAAATGAGAGAGTGAGATAGATCCAGTTCACCACTGAAGCTCTGAATAAGGAATCGGACAACTTACACCAAAAACTGGAAACACATCTGCACAGTACAGTACTGGAAAAGGTCATGGATTTCACCAAGAAAGCACGGCGATCCCAACACAACAAGAGCAAAGAAAGACAGACCCGAAAATTCCAAAACCTACAGACAAGAGCCAGCAACGCAACCAAAACAGGAGAATTGTCTTGGAGGAGTAAGGACGACAATCCCACAACACGGGAAACAGACGGGTGAAAAATCTGTCAGATAGGGAACTCACCCAACCAGAACAAGACTTTTTGGCCAAAGGACTAAACTTTGCCATCACACCACAGCAGCTACCCATAGTGGACCTCACAGCTACAGAATCAGCAATTAGGAAAAGCAAATTTAACAGAAGCAGAACAGCTAAAGCTAAAGGTATCAGCAGCCCTTTCTAATGTGAAGGCACCCCCTTCCAACCTCATCATCCAAGAAAGGAGAGCTGTGACATCACTGAGCAAGGATCAAAACATCACCATCCTACCGGCGGACAAAGGAAGATGCACGGTAGTCCTTAACACAGTGGACTACCAGGACAAAGTCAACACGCTACTAATGGACACTAACACATATGAGACACTGAAGCAGGACCCAACCAGCGGGTACAAGAAGAAGGCCATAGAATGTCTACAAC